TGATGTATGCCTCTAGTTAATAACCACTAAGTATAAAATAACAGTAGTTATAATACTAATTCAAACAATTGCCTTAAGTGCTAGAAAGAAATCATAGCACCTTGTATTAATAAAATGCATGTATATATATATAGAAGCCAAAGGGCAGGCCCAAGTAAACTCTCTCTCAAACATTGCAACTCCCAAATCAAGGGGCACGTCCAACTAATCTCTCTTTCACCGGTTAACCCATTTATCAAGTTACCCAACTAATTTTCAGTTTTACCCCTAACCCTACTAATCCGTACTTCAATTTTGGGTATTCCCCCTTATTCATTCTCCCTCTCTCACTTCATCAGTAGCTACCATTTCATTGATGGTGATGATCCAATGACTATGACTATTACATAGTCCACAAGATTATGGTATATTTTTTAGCAATGCTATAAGTGAATTCTAATAAAGAAGTTAACCCATTATTTAGAGAATAAACACCTCTCTCTCTCTCTCTCTCTTCATCAGTAGCTACCATTTCATTGATGGTGATGATCCAATGACTATGACTATTACATAGTCCACAGGATTATGGTATATTTTTTAGCAATGCTATAAGTGAATTCCAATAAAGAAGTTAACCCATTATTTAGAGAATAGACAGAGCCCACTCACGGGAGAGAGAGAGAGAGAGTGTGTGTGTGTGTGATTCTTGTTGGGCAACACCAAGACCGCGTTGAGGGATCTTCTTTTCCTTGCTCCTTGTTCTCCTGTTTGATCTGGCTTTTTTATTCTCATCTTACATCGTAGCGATCAAGAAGAAGAAGCGTTAATGGTGGATGGTGGTTAATAGGGTCATACCTCTTCCATGTTTGAGCAGCATTTTCCATCAACACAAATCCCAAATTTCCTCTCTCTGCAACTCATCCCATTAACACATCAAAATCCCACTTCAATAAAACATAAAATCAAGTTCCTCTCTCTTACTCAAGCAAAACACACAAATCTCTCAAAGCCCTCCCCCCTGCCTTCACCCAAATGGCACAAATCTCTAAAACCCTCTCTTTCTTTAACTTTTAAAATAACGTTAATAAATTAAACCCATATCAACATTCTCTCTTTAATATTCTCTCTCATTCTCTTTCTTTAATATTTATCTCTAATATTAGATTTGTTCCCACAACCAGATTCAGTATCTTCAGCATCTCTCTCTAATGCTATATAACTTTCAGAAATAATAAAAAAAAAACCACAAGAAGAAAAAGAGCACCCTCTCTTCCTAACCTTTCCTCTTACATGCATCAGGCCGTTAACCAGAAGAAGAAGAAGAAGAGCACCCTCTCTTCTTAACCTTTCTTCTTATATGTATCAGACCATTAACCAGAAGAAGAAGAAAATCACCTTCTCTTCCTAACCTTTTCTCTTACATGTATCAGATCGTCTAAGTTTCAATTATACTTTGGCATTTCTTCTGCTTCTTTGTAGAGAGGGAAGCAAACGCACAGTAAGAAGACCAATTGTTATATTCTGCTGTCTTTTGGCTTCTTTGTAGAGAGGGAAGCAAACGCACAGTAAGAAGACCAATTGTTATATTCTGCTGTCTTTTGGTAGAGAGAGAAACAAACCCACAGTGAGAAGACCCACTGGTTCTACCCACAAAAAGCAAACCTTAGAAAGAGAGAGACTATATATCGCTATTTCTCCACAAAAAAGCAACCGCTGGAATAAATACAACGTTAAAACAATATAGAAGATGAAACATGTCGCTTTAGTACCATTGTTGGTGAAATGTGATGGAACGTGTATAAGACAAAACCCAAGATCAGAGAAAGGGTGCCGTGAGACTGTTGATCGCAGAGCCCAAATTTTTTTATCCCTTCACTTTAGAAAGAGATATAAACCTTTTTTTTGTTATGCACATCATCTCTTGGGCTTCCCACTTTATAAGAAGAAGGGGTAACCGTTGTATTTTTCCAATAGGTGTTGAGAAACAAAAGGTTATCTTATCTCCAATAGGTCTCTGAAGGGCTACGTTCCTATGGATATGACTGTTGAATGAAGGGTTATGTTTCTATGGACATGGCCGTTGGATATATGGAACTCCCACAAATATAGACCAAGACAAGTAAGGCTTCATAGCTGTAAGTGCCAACACTCCAACGATTAGGTGGTGGAATTTAAAAAAATAGAAAAATAAACTCTTTTAGGATAAATTAGTTAAAGAAGTAAAATGAATCCGTGAACATAAGGTGAATGTTATGTAGAATGAGATGACTGAATGTATTAACAAAATGACGAAAGAAATTTTAGGATAAATTGGAGGGAAACTAAATTCTGATAAGAAAACTTGATAGTGGAGTGATGAGGTTCAGAAGGCAATAAACAAAAAATTATTATGTTACAAAACTTGACAATGTAATAAATATTATTAAAACTTAAAAGAAAATAAAAATGCTAAGAATAACTAAACTTAAGGCATATGATTATCTATACAGTAAACTGAGAATAAAAAAAAGTGAAAAACTGTGTTCAAATTAGTAAAAATAAAAAAGTGTGGGGATCTAAACAATATTAACTATATTATTAGTGATACTCAAAGGGTCTTGGTGAAGGAAACTTGCTAACTATGTAACAACCAATAAAACGTAGATAAGGAAGATTAGAAAAAAGTTTATATAAGTGTGAAGCTCTAAACAATCAAATTAAGGTGCACCTTAAAAATTGATTAAGAAATGTTGTTTCGATGCTGAAAAACCTTCAATTCGATCATCTCAACCTCAAGATGTATGAACATGAGAAAAAAAAGTTTTCAAGTATTGAAAATAATTCATCTTGTAATTTGTTATCTAAACCATCGATTTTCAAGTGTTTATAGATCTGCTCGATGAACGCTATTTTTAAACTTTAAATTTTATTATTAGATATAAAAATAAATTTTCAGGCCATCATAAAAATTTCTAATATTAAAACACCATATGTCGACACCATTTAAAAGTGTCCCCCATTTTGATTGTTTAAAGCTTCGGCCTTATACAAACCACAAAGACCGGAAGTAAATAAGGGACTTTCTACTATCCTAGACACGAGGGCGTGGGGCCATTCCTTTGGCAACAATAGAATGAGGAACACCTAGACAAGTAGAATTTACCTTTTCCATGTAAAGGACAATTTACCCCTTTAAAAAACACAAGGAACTCGTTACTAATTATAAAAAATGGGTGCGGTTTGTATAGAGCCGAGGCTCTAAACAATCAAATTCGAGCCTACCCTCAAATAGTATCAAAAAATGTGGTTTCAATATTGGATATCTTTGTGATAGCCTTAAAATATATTTTCATCTTTACTTAAAAAATAGTGTAGATCGAGGCGACCTATGAACACTTGAAAATCTTGAAAATTGACAGTAAAAAACTGCGTTACACGATACACTATTTCCAAACCTCAAAATCCATTTATTTTTCTCATTTCTATGCACCTTGATATCGAGATGATCAATTTGAAGATAATTAGGCATCAAAACAACCTCTTCTAGTAAAAATTTTGAGAGGGGCTCCAATTTGATGGTTTAGAGCCTCGGCCCTATCGAAACGTTTTCCATTATTTAATGATTAAATTACTTATTTAAATAATTTTTAAACAAAAAATATTGATTTTTTGATAAATACACACATCATAACTCATTATAACATCAACCCTTATATTTTGACGGATTGTTAACTCTAGAAAACCCAATACAAAAATATCCAACAGGTTCAAAATCTAAAAATATCTTCTTAATGCAAAGGTCAACATATTAAAACAAAAAGAAGTAAAATACAAAAAAAAAAAAAAGTTTTAGAGTGAGAACCGGCATAAAGTGAGAGATGTCGATTGTATCAGAAGAGATTGTTTTGATTCCCAAAAATCTTTAAATTGATTATCTCATTCTCAAGATGTATGAAAATTAAAAAAAAAAGAATTTCAAGTTTAGGAAATAGTGCATCTTGTAATGCATCTTTAGGAGCGTCAATTTTCAAGATTATCAGGCGTGTATATATATGTTTGATCTACACCATTTAAATTTTATAATTAAAGATGAAAATAAATTGTCAGGCCATCACAAAGATTGGCAATATTGAAACATCTTTCGATGCTATTCTAAGGTACGTCATATTTTGATTGTTTAGGACCTCAGCCTCATACAAACTACATAATTCCTTTTTTTCAAATTTGTTTTAAATTTTAAAACATACAAATTAGATATTTAAATTGGCAACTTTTTAGAATTTCTCACCAAAAGATATCTAAAGTTGGATTTATGTTCTTGGTCAAGAAGTAAATAGGTAACCTGCACAAGTAAGTTTGATACGTTAATGGTGGGAATGGACGTTAAGTTGAGCCTAGGACACCCTCCCTACCCACGCACCAATGTCCCAACCCTGTTAGCAAGGGAAGGGCCTTCTAAATGAGGGATGAGCTTCATGCAAAATGCCCCTTCAACTCCATATAGGACACCTTCATCCCCATTTCTTTCACTTCTCCCACTCTCACCTGGCAGAGGGAAACTATAGTCCCCATGACTATTGAAAGGCCCAGGTCACAATTGCCATCATTGTTCACTGTTCAATTGATGGATTTGACCATCACAGGAACCATTCAGTCCTGGATCTCCACCCAAACCATCAATACATTGTGATGACGCGTCCTGATTGTATCATGACTAAGAGAAGATTGTAGAGAACACTTTAACTTAGGGAACATTTGTTTTTGTGAAAGTAATTTTGGGGCTTTCCCCTTTCATTTCAGCCTAGGAAAGTGGCTTCACACTTGAACAAGTATGAAGCCGCTTTCTCACAAAAGTATATAGCGCAGGGAAGAGCTAGGGAAATACTTTCCTAGCGAATATATTAAGTACTAATTTCCAGAAAACAAATATGGGATAACAGCAGTCCAGTGGGCTTTCGGGCCCTTAATGAATTGTCAGATCGAGGTTTCCTTAATCCAACTAAACAAACTCCTCTGTGCACAATAATGCCTGACCTCACTACTCATGGACTGCAGGGCATACCGGCTCATGGGCCGCAGCATACCCTGAGATTGTGGCCTGTGCCAACATGTTCTGGTCGAAGCCTGGTACTGTACATCTTACCCCTCTCCACCCTAACACCTATCCTCTCCTCCGCAATGTTTTGCTGCTCTCTTCCCAGACTCCTTCCTCCATGCTGGAGCTGACGAGATCATCCCTGGCTGCTGGAAGGCTGATCCCAAAATCCAAGCTTTCTTAGCCTCTGGAGGAACTTTGAGCCAACTCCTCGAAACTCATGTTAATGCCACTCGACCTTACATCGAATCTCTTAATCGCACCGCAATTTACTGGGAGGATGTCCTTCTTGACTCCACTATCAATGTGAAGCCTGAGCTACTCACAAAGGAGACCACAATCTTGCAGTCGTGGAACAATGGACCTAACAACACCAAGCTCATAACATCCATGGGTTATAGAGCAATAGTGTCGTCATCTGCTTTCTACTACTTGGATTGTGGGCTTGGTGATTTCTTGGGCAATGACAGTAGCTATGACAAGATGGGTGATGAGGGCAATGGGTGTGATGGTGCGGCCCTTTCAAAACATGGCAGAGGATTTACAATTATGATATAACTTATGGGTTAATGGCGGAGGAGGCAAAGCTAGTGCTTGGTGGGGAGGTGGCACTGTGGTCGGAACAAGCTGATGGGACAGTGTTGGATCCTAGACTTCGGTCAAGGACAGCAGCCTTTGCAGAGGCAAATGTGGTCAGGGAATCGGGATGAGACAGGGATGAAGAGGTATGCAGAGGTCATTGATCGTCTCGATGAGTGGCGATATCGGATGGTGGCGAGAGGGGTGGGGGCTGAGCCTATCCAGCCACTATGGTGCCTCAAAAACCCCTGGATGTGTAACTTAAACCAATAATTTATGGAAAGTGGTGGTGTGTATATTCTCCTTCAATTGATGGGGAGACTTTCTGAGAGTGTGTACACAGGGCACACCATTTGTGCTGTTTTGAGTTGATTGATGTTTTTATTTAAGATTTGGCTGTGTACACCCAGTTGCATATAAAATTTTAATGATTTTTATAAGATACTTATATCTCGAATAAACATAAAATTTGTGTTCATTTCCCTTAACTAGACCACAAATGCTACCAGATTTGCCTCGAAGGCTTCTTCCGTTTGTTTGGGAGAGAGAAATACTTCCAACATTTCAGCTTATTTATGGAAAGACTTGATTCTCGCTCAGAGAATACATTAGTGGCTGGACTGCCTGCATGCATAGCATGATTTATATTGGGCTTCTACCTACAATTGCTGCTCTTGCCGCAACATCACCCAGTACAACTATCCATGTTCATCTGATCGGTTGCATCGTCTTTCCACTAAGATATATTGCAATTCCTTGAATCAAAAGACCCTTAAGACTTGCCCAAATTCTATTAGCTTAAGAGCTCTGTCTATTCCCAAAAAGATAAATACAATACACTGGCGTTCAGCAAGAGTCTCTTATTGCTGATTGTTGAGCTCAACAGTAACTCATCATGGATTTTATGTGGCAACGTTGACAAATGATCTATTATTTACTTATTCGGAGACATCTCTCATATCTGATCCACCAATCCAATATTGATGCAGTACATAATTATCCTAATTTTTATTTTTTCTTTAATTTCAAGGGATGTATATTAAATTTTAGTTTTATAGTTTTAATTGTTTTTTAGGGACTAAAGAATTCATTTATATTTTTATTTAGTATTAACTGGTTACTATTCATGGATACTGTTTATAGATATTGTTCACGGGTTACTATTCATAGGGGCAAATTTGTTATTACAAATTGTGTTTAAGTTGGGTTTTCTTTTTGGTAATATCTTTGAATTTTAGATTATAATATATAAGAGGTGTGTAGGGCTTTAAGGAAGTCATTCCATGTCATGACCCCGCCCCCTAACCCCTACCGTACTTGTCGGAGGGCGACAGAGTGTGGGATCATGACCAGAGGTCGCGAACGTCACTCAGGTGGGAGTGGCTCAACGCATTAAGAAATGCAGAATCAAAGCAAACCACGAAATAAAATAAAAACTGCACAAAATAAAACCATTATATACAATTTCCACGAAATAAAATAAAAACTACCAATGGATGACCAATTGCGTAGTGGTCATGTCACATATATTAGTCTCAATATAACAGAATTACAATATCTAACTACCAATGGAGGACCCATTGCGTAGTGGTCATGTCACATATATCAGTCTCAATATAGCAGAATCACAATATCCAACTACTAACTACGTACGTAGTAGTAGTAGTAGTAGTAGTAGTAGTAGTCGTAGTATTAGTAGTAGTACGTAGTAGTATAGTAGTAGTACGTAGTACGTACTACGTACGACTACG